TCCTCTCAATTTCTGTGCAAAGTATTTCTCCGCTTACTCCATTGTTGCATAAATATTATTTTATAACTTCTTCCCTAGTTTGTTGAGCTAATCTTTTCACAGTAAATTTCCAGTCGCAGCGTCATCTTCGAAGCCATCTCTAGGATCCAGCTCCAGTTTGGTCGTATATACGTTATGATGACTCTTACAATGTGAATTGTGTGACTGATTTTCTTTGCTTCAATGATACTCATCGGGGCTGACCTTTGGAATGTCCGTCTTTGAGGTCAGCTGCCCACAAATGTTAGAGTAAAGCAACTTCCTTTCTCTATGATCATTTTTTTCGTGAGTACTCCGCTCTCTTGAGTAGCTGCACAAATTGTTAACGATTCTGTAATTTTTGTAAACTAGTTTATTTGATTTTGAGTAGATCAGATCACAACCGTGATTTTCTCCTTGACATCTTTTTCATATTCCTAATGAACCATGGTTTCTCACAATTCTTGGTTTTATACGCCCGTGAGTGAGCTGATAGGTCTATTATGCTATGAACAAAAGTGGAGTAGAAATTTTCGATGTCATCAATTACCAGGTTCAGGTTTGGAAGACTAAGTTCTCGTCTGATAACAGTGAAGTCGGCAAGGTTGAAAATTCTTGTCATTCTGGGTGTAGCTTCTACCTCGGTACATGAGCCGGCCAGCATTTTGGTCTCAATCATGAGGTGATCGCTTACACCAATTCCATCTGATAGGACTGGGGGAGTAATAACGTGTTCAGAATTCGTCAAAATCAAATACAGAACATTGGGAGAGTGATTGTTGGCTGGAGAACCATCTGTATCGAGTTGGAGTCAATGAACATATCCCGGAACTCGCTTTCCGTTTCTGTGCGCACCGTCAAACTTGGGATATTGCAGAATATTGTTGGAAAGTTAAAGTCCCCAAGACAATGATCAGTTCCCTGAAGTTGCGCACCTTCCGGATAGTTTCAGTCACACGGTCCATAGACGTGGAACGGAGTCTGTAAACATCTCCGACGACAAAATGTAGTGCACCGATTTTCACTCTCAGCCAGAGCGCTTCCACATCTGGGTCTTCTAATTCGCGCAGTGGGGGGTGATGAAGAGTTTTATCTGGCCAATCTCGTCTGATATGCACACAAACACACTCCACTGCAACGCCTGTCACTCCATTTCAGTTCGCGCCGTGTATTATCCCAGCGAAAAGTTGAAATCCCTCAAGTTGCTCACCTTCCTGATATTTTCAGTCAGACGTTGGTCCATATACATGGGTTGGGCGTACGAGTGAGGGGGTCTGTATACACCTCCGACAATAAAATGTAGTGCTCCTATTTTCACTTTCAGGCAGAGAGCTTCCACATCTGGGTCTTCTAATTCAAGCAGTAGGCTGATCACAGATCTTATCTGGTCAATCTCCTTTGCCAGATAACCATCACCACGCCCGTCTTGGTAGCTCATATAACCAGGGATTTGAGAAAGTGGATCAGTAATACTACTTTTCAACCATGTCTCTGTAATAATAACTATATGTGGATTCCTTTGTTGCAGTTCCAGCAGTAATCAAACTTTGCCGTCAGTGAATATATATTTATATACAAGGACGGATTCACTGGTGGAAAGGAAGATTTGCCTGGTAGATGTACATTTTCCCATTTTACTGCCTCTGCTCGTTTCCTCGACTTTTAACAATTTTCGGCCCTCCTCTTACTACTGTAATCTGCAGATTGGGGTCATCTTTTCGCCGGTCTTATAGTTATCTTTCTGGCGAGTTCTTCCTTTAGGATAGCATTTTGTAGGCTGTATCCTGATATAGAAAATCTATTTTCAAGTGTCTTGGTTTTGTCACGTTTTCCCTGTCGGAAGGAAAGTGTACTATCCTTTTCAGTCTTAACACTCAAGACCTTCAATAACGAGTTCACATTGGTGTTATCTTCCGTTTGGCGGTCTTTTGGAGTGCCCGCATCAGACTCGTGGAGTGCACAGAGGATAACATTTTGCTTTGGGTTACCTCGGTCTTCAATTTCTTTCAATTCTTAGGCTGTACACACACAGGATTTGACCGCTTCAAACTCCCGTCTCGACTTAAGATCCGCTTTGATTTTCATTTGCCTCCGCTCAATCGCTTCATCTTTTCCTTTCAAATCCTGGATTCCACTTTTGCACAGCTTGACTTCCTCGAGACACTTAACCAGTAGCGTTCACCTTTTTGACAGTGTCCGGAATTTAATTAAGACCATCATTAAATTTCTTTCGAGTTGTTCAGTTTGCTTTGCGAGTTCAGTTTTTAAAGCTTTGATTATTTCATCAGATTTCGACATCTCAGAAGTTAGGGTTTGTGTCCAGAACACACTGGTTGCATGTGATCTCAGTACCGTCGCCCTCAAATGTATCTACACTCTCACGAACTCGCCTTGTAGGATGAAGTTGGAGGAATAGGAGCTTTCCCCTTAATCAGCCAGAGTGCAGGGTTCGCTGACTGCTTCAGTGCTGTCGTAGGCCTTTTCTATGTGAGAGTACGGTCACAAAGTGATGTCTGAAGACAAAGATTTTTCTTCCCAGAGCAACGAGATGTTCCAGAACTTGATGTCCTCTGAACCTGCAATGGATTGTGGCGAGCAGATACCACACAGCAAGTACGGCGAGATACAGGATGGTAGGTAGCTTGCTGATAACGATCGATCGTTTCCTCCTTTTAGAGCTCGGGCGATGGCTGCACGCGTTAGAGTATGGATGGGGTGATTTTTTCAGATAAGATTACAAATTCAATAAATTGCTTCATCAAACCAGAAAGATATGTTGTGAATTTCATAAGAACCTGCAGCAGTTCTCTTCATAAGCGCGAGGGCTGAGGGCATTTCAGAACAGAGTGTTGAAATCCTCAGTCACTTTGATTGAAAAAGCCAATGCATGGTTCTCTATTCTTTAACAAAAACAAAGCCTGGAGAGCAGTTCGCCGAACTCTACATTTTCTCATGGTGAGCAGCGAGTTACAATGGTATCCCGAGAAGTAATCATCTCTCCATACTTAAGTACATACGGCAGTTGTGTTTTTCTTTAATTTGACTATCTTCCTCCACACCAGACCAGGTGGCGCATGCCAATTGAGAATCGAAACTATGCTTTCCACGATGAATTCTTACACTCTAAAATTGTTCTCGCCTTTGCTCTAAATCATTTGTGAACAATTAAATTTCTCCACGGTTGTATAAGCTTGAGCCTGCCCAACCCTTCTTACATGCACGGACTGCCATTGAATAGTTCAAATTCCAGCATGGGACAAATGTGCGGTTTACTGGTCGATTTTAGAATCGCAGAGGAAGCAGCTAGAAGTATAGCTCTATTGAGTTCGGCGATATTCCATCGAAATGATCATCAGGGAGGACATTAGCTTGAAAAGTCGACCGCTCAGCGCTTTGCACAACCCAAGACTTAGTCGACCAATGCGAACATTGGGAAAGAAATTGTCGCTTCCGTATAGGACTTCCAAAATGGTCCACTATATAGCTTGGAGGGTTGGAAAGGGCTGGGTCAATCAACGTGCTTGAGTTCGTCGCTGCAGTAAAATGTGTTGGTTCACTTGTATTGAGAATCATCAGGTTAGAAGTGTTGTTAACTAATACCAAAATAATATCCCTCTGTCAAGTATAGGAAGAACCTCAAAACGGGCTGTGAGCATTTACATCTCCAACTATTAAGAAGGATGTGGGCAATTGGTTTATCAGGCTGAAGAAGTCAACAGCTGACCCTGTTTACCCAAGGGGGTGTAAATATTACATACAGTAAATGTAGGAGATGGGAGGTACACCTACACACACAGTTTGAAGAACTGCCAGAATAGGTACCTCTACAGAATGCAGCTTGTCGAGAATCAATGGATGATAAGAATGAAAATGAGAGGGTACTAGAGACTAATTGCTTACAAGTAGAAGTAGAAACTACACTTCTCATGAGAAACTGCATCTTTTCATATGAATAAAGTTTCATGAAACTCCAAGCATTTACTTCCCTCTGAGTAATTGCTCTGCTGCAATTGGTTGTCTTTTCATATGTTTTGTAGAAACTATCTCATTTACCTCGTAACAGATGTTTGTTCTTGATGAAGCTGACCATGTCAGTTGTGGTACAGTTGTGAGTTATGTTTGACCTTTTCTTTTTTCCTGAATGTGATCATATCGTTCAGATAAGGAGAGGACTAAAACTTGTTATCAGCAAGGTATCATTAATATTTTAAAGGTGCAAGGCATTTTATTCCAAAAATCACAATTGCCGTCAAGAAGAAGAATGCCGAAGGGCTGACTGCAGAAATATATAAAAAATAAAGAAATAACACAACAATTATCGAAGAAAATTTTCTATCACAAGAACAGTGGTTTTTCTGCGGTAGGAGGCGAGGCAGAACACATAGTCCATGAATTGTTAGAAAACACTTGAAATGGAAGTATGGGTCGAGCTGCGTTAATGAAATTTTTATTACAAATTTCCAAATGAATAATACTTACCCTATATTAAAATTGTAAGTCATTTTATATTTTTATTATTATAAAATGTATTAAACTAGTATATATTCATCTGGGCAGTGCCTACCTCGCCTACCCCAAGGACCTGCCACTAGTGCATAGTTTCAGGAATAAACAGTATGTGCAAGGTTAAATCATCATATGTTTGTGTTTTCAGTCAAAATCAGTTTCCTCCTTTAACCAGCCCCCGCAACCCCACCGGCTCATGGTCTGGTATAGGACATGACCAGATAAAAATCCACAGCTATCCCATCTGAGATTTGAACCCAGGTCTGTCAGTTTAGCAGGTTACGTGACCTAGCCATACACTTCCATGACGCTCGATTTAGAAGATCCAAGTGAAAATAGCTCTTAATTAATGAGATTTCACTGCATAATTATGAAATAAACACAAAGAAAGAAGCAGCAAGTCTAACTGCTGCACAAACATTTTTATGTACAAGCAGCAGGTATTTTCCCTGCAGATGCATGTAGAACAGGCTTACCTCAGAAATGTGGAAACCTTTTTTCATGGATTTGAATTTGGTATTATCCAACTTATAAATATAGATATCTGTGACTAGCAACGCACGATCAGCACACTTGTTGAACTTGTTTGTCTTAAGAACAAACGATGAAAATAAAACCTGAAAAAGAAAGGAACCTTTTTCAAAAAATATTTCTTTGGTTTACAGAATTTGTATTTAGAATAATCTCTAATTGAATATCAGAATGAGTATGCCCTATAGTTAATAGCTACTGTACGACAACGTTCTAGAGGCAACATAAAATGCCAGATACTTCTTATTAACGGAAATTTATACTTTAACTCTATACTCTCGAATTTTAAAACTATTTTAATAAATTTTGCAAGTTACAAACGTTTAGATAAAATTTTAAGTAATGCCATATTACAAGTAAAATTTAATGAATAGAAAATACATTATAAATGCAATTATTTTGCAAAAAATTATTTCTCAAATAAACAAAAATTATTTCAATCATTAAAATCAGCCATATCAATGAATTACATTTTACGTAAGAAACAGATGGATCTATCTGCATATAGCTACGAAATCAATTTTTTTTGTCTAACCTATGCCTTATTGTCTAATGACATAAAATTTTAATATTTGGAGACAAACACGCAAATAAAATATTTTGCTGAGGCTATGCACCCCTTTCAGAATTTTCAGGGGGTCACAGATCCTCCCCCCAGCATGTGCACAAGCCTTTGAGTGTCAATGTTATCAAAAGTAGAAAAGCAAAGTAAGACAAAGTAAAGTTTAGTACTCAACAGGTATTAAGATCATATTTGTTCAAGAACAGAGAAACCTGTTGTAAATGGTATGTGGTAAGTGTCCAAGTGATTAGGCCAATAAAAATTGGCCATTAACAAGAGTGGCCGCTTAATCAAGGTTATAAAGTAACAGGAAGCATAGATCGGACCTACACGAGTTAACTACTGTGAAATAAAAGGTTTTCCACATCATTTTAATCACCTTAAACTACAAAAAAATAAAAATAAAAACCACACTTGCGCAACGAACTACAATATAAAATAAAGACATCGGTTCACCCTTGATTTGAATTTTGAAAAAAATAAAAATAACGAATTGTTTACGTCTCCTGCACCTGGTTTGCTCTTGCTGCGCAGGCTTTGAAACTTTTTGAAGTTCATTAATTTGCCCTTTCCTGCTTAATATGCCAACAAGTTCTCTTCCCCTTTCGCATTTTGTAGGATCACTTGCCCCCTCTTGGCATCCTTGACTTATCATTTATTCCATTATTCACCAAATCAAATTCACAAGCAATCTAGACTTGAAAAGACAGTTCATTCTGTAAGAATGAGCCATCCCAGTAAAGAGTTCATCAGAGAATGACTAGATTAGATAGACGTGCAATGTGTGTGCTGTTGACAAGTTCTTAGATTAGGGAAACAAAAGCTAGCAAACAGCAAACTTCACAAGAATGCTGCGCAACAGGCTAAAGAAACATGTTATTTCACAGATGCATTGTTATTAGAATTATCTTTGCCAGTTGAAACAGAATTTAATCTCCCTGACAGTTAAGTGACGCTAGATGCCACTGTTCTTAGCAAAATGACACCGCGTCCCATTACCAGAAGATACTGAATCAATATCTCCACTCTCCTCCGCTTCTTATTCTACGAGTTCAAACTCACTAGAGGTGTCTGCTTAATGGTGCTTAATGCTAGAGGTGTCAATCAACAAAAAGTGTTTGGATGCTTAAAGAAAGACATTTTTACATTATTCATGAAGAGAGTCAATCAGTTCCATGAAGGGAAAAAAAGAAAACAGCGCGAGCAAGAGAGTGATTTACTTTTTTCTTCATATTTTATTTGTTTCAATTAAGTAATTTAATTTTTTTAGAGATTTCTATTTATCTACTACAAATAAAAGTAGTGGACTTACTTTTTGGAATTTATCTGAATGTTTCAGATTACTAACACTAGCATTGTACATTGCACTGCTTCGATTCTCTCTTGTTTGAGATAAGTAATCACCTTCCCACTTGCGTGCCTGACCCCACCAAGATCTTTTGCCTCTCAAGGCAGAGGCAGCCGTGATCTGAAATGTATAACAATAGCACTAATTTAGATATTACCACAAATATAACGAGTTTTATCAGGCACAACTAAAAGACAAATAAAAAGAGAAATCAATCAAACATTTTCCTTGCTACCGTTTACACCATACAACCAAATACCTTATCAACAACAAAATTATACATACATATATATATATATATATATATATATATATATATATATATATACACACATACATACACACACACACACACACACACACATATATGCATACATAATTTTTTTTTTCCCTCTCCCCAACAATCACAAAACTTATAAAATTTACGAAGAACATACCTTCAATTTCAATTGTGACCATTCTGCTCGAGGCACAGATCGCAGAATCATCCAAGCACGCCAGCGATTATGAATTGCTTGTAAGTAAGCAACAGCTTGTCTCACAGCCAGTGGTGGTGCTGGCCATCGTACACTCTTGCCATAATCTCTCATTGTCTGAACATTTCTACACAATTGAAAAACTAACATCAACACGTAGGTAAAAATTAAGGAAATTCTGTGATGTAATTTATTTCATTTCCCTTGGTCCTCATCAAATGTTCCACAAATATCCTTGAGCTCAATCTTACTGAAATTCTCTTACTCAAAACGATGACCATATTTACCTGAACATACAACTACTCTGAATATGAGGTGACACCCTATTTTGAAGAGGCTTCCTGAGAACTTTTTAAATTTGTAATCAGTTCTTATTATTGAGTAAAAATAAACTTGTAAATTGTCTAATTGTCTAGGGGAGGAAAATGTTAAAACCTATTGCCCAAGCTATTACTATTTTCTTGTTCCTTAAAATCATCATAATCATGGTTTTCGCAACTAGGGCAAACTATACAGTGGTTGGCAGTTTGATTACATTCTTTTCAATAATGTTTTGTTAAACAGTAGTGTCTACTCTGAGCCATGCATGGAATTGCTGTTTTGGGCATGTTCTCTTGGTCCTGGAAGTACCCACTATGAGTGTTTCTTGCCAATCATTGTCATACGTACAGTTATTGGCAATGCCAATGGATGTTAGTAGGTCAATAGGCAATTATTTTATTTTAGAAATGTCATTAGGCCCATGACGAATCAGGGAAGATTGAGAAGAGGAAAGAAAGAAGGAAATCTGGAAATAACCCTACTGATTTGGAGCTTTTGTAAGATATTCGAGAGGGTTTATCAAAGAAGGTAGCACGAAAGAAATATAACATTCTGAGGTCCTGATCAATAATGCAATTTCCTCTCAAGCTACAAATTTTCTAAATCAAGGGGACTATCTCCTATACTTACTGACAATTAAGAAAAACTGCTGGTGAAATGGTTAAACATATGTTCCTGGAAATGATTTCCTCAGAGAAAATTATAGATTCAGTTGTCAGTTAAGGAATTTTTAACCATTAATCCAAGAGAAACGACTTTCAAAGATAACACGCCAGGAGATGTATAGTTCAAAGCATTCCTTCAGAGAATACCATACGAAGTTACAAAGAGGATTCCTAACGTCTAGGGAGTAGGACAAAGTTTGTCAGGTTGGATGATAGTAGATGAATTTTATGAGTACATTGGTAATGTCCTTGTCCAATTTCTTAAAAAACAGAAGGTAACATTCCCTGCGATCCTTTTTGTAGGCAGACATCGTAACATCTCACATATCAACTGACTGAACTCTGCTCTGAATTGCACTTGTACTTATGTACACTAATGTGACCACAATACTGCAATCACTCTCAATTGCAACATTCATCCACTTAAAATCAGTTGGAAAGTAGCAGATAAAGAATGGCACAAAGTAAACTCTGAAAAATGGCAGCTACTAAAAAATATAGTCTAGAATGATCTGTTAGGGATTTTGAGCAAGTGGCTTTGAATCCATGAAACCCTTATACTTATTTCACAAAATGTCAGGGAAAGAAAACCACCAAACCAAGACCAGAAGCTTATACCATGGTGCTCACATTAGAAGAATTTCGAGAAATTGTTGGAGTAGACCTCTATGCTAGAGATGGAATAAATGATGCAGAATTGGCCTTCAAATTGTATGCTCTGCAGAAAAAGACTTATTAATACTTTGGAAATACCCAATTCTTCCTCCAAAGTGATCATCCAATAAAGCCATGTATATAATGAGACTGGTCCTAGTCACGTTCGCACAGAAGAAAGGCTTCACATGGAGCAAACAGATATAAACACACCTACCCAACATGTTCAGCCTTGCAAAGCTGAAATTGATGAAGGACTGGAAATTAGGCCTAGTGACATGCATAATTCTGCAATGCCAAAAATTCTACAATGGCCAAGTGCACCAAAAAGAAAATTTAAGAGAAAAACTGAGAGAATGCCTTTCATCATGACAAGCAAATCATGAAATTTTTTCAGGAAAAGAAGAATAAGAAAAATGCAGATCTACTCACTAACCAAGAAAAAAGAGAACTGATTATAAACTGGAAACACTGAAAGAGAAAGATAATGTGGAGGCAAGTTGTTCTGAAGCATTAGCATTACAAGCAATGTGAAAAACAAGAGATATGTTTTATACATACAAAAATTATAGGGCTAACAGATTTACTCCGTTCAATTGTTTCATGAGATTGTACTTGACATTCACAAGGTGTATATTTCTGAAGAGAACGATTCCTGTGTCTGCCATTTGTGCTTTATGTATGCCAAAAGTTCTCCTCGTATGGACTCTGATGATTCATTTGTTTAGAATATCCACAGTTGTAAACACAGATGGACTAATAATATTATCTTCTAACATTCACATCATCTTATTGTTTTGCTTTTCATATCATAATTCAGGATAATATGTTTTCTTGGGTGCCAATGACAATCTGTAGGTGTCAATAACTAATATTTTGTTTTGTAAATTTAAACCACACAAAAAATTAAATTAAAAGAGGTCAAGCTGTGAATTGTGATCTCTTACACCTCTGTTCCTGTTTTGCACATAGCAAGGGAGATGGTGGCAAGTTATCCCAATTTGGGAAGTTTTTGTACAGAAAATATCTTTCCCTTTCAAAAATAATGGTCTAAATTGTCTGGCAAATTTACAGACATGCTGAGAATATGTCCTCAACTATAGTTATGAATTAATAGATAAACATTTTATTTGTATCATCTTTGCAGCTTAATACTGTTGTGTGTCACCATTTACAAGTTTTGTAACATGGAAAGGCAATTTAAAAATATAAATCCCAACTGCCTAGAGTCAATGTGCAAATATAAGGTGACTCCATAGGTTTAATGAGATGTTTAGGAATAAAAACCTATCTTGTATTCAGGTAAATATGGTATATTGGTTTTCTATTCAGTAACATTCTCTAACATAAATATCTGTATTCCCAAAAGTTCACATTTCTACATTGAAATAAAATACTTATGTTAAGTAAACCTACCTGAATAAAACTTGTAATTGTGCAATATATGCCCGAACTTTGTACCGTCTATAATATTGCATTATTTTTAAGGCAGCTTTCATTTTCCGGTAATGCATTCGGCAAATTGCTCCTCTCCATTGTTTCTGTAGCAGCACTACAATACCAGGTATTATCTCATTGCGTGCCTTCTCTAATGCAAATAGAGTTCTTGGTGAACGAATAAATATTTTTGTGTGACCATAACGGACATCACTTGAGAACCGAAGTTCATCTATAAGTACTCTTGTTCCATCCTTATCTGATCCTGCATGGAAGTTGGGCCATGTAAATTGGGAAATCATTTTGTACCTAAAACAAACACAAACATTGAAGATGTGCTACGTAATTGATCATTGTTTATTTTATGACTATTTACTTCTTGTTAAAACAGTAGGCAAATTAAATTTGAATCTTCAATTATAAAATCATACATATTACGCTGGTTTTTTAAGTTGGTATGCCTCCATACTGCATTTTCAAATGAGCAGTTGGATATCTCACACGCAAAGTGGAACCCAACCAAAATACCATTCTTAGGAAAATATGTTCTCTTAAGAATTACCGAGAAACCAAATAACAAAATCCCCTGCTAGAAAATCATGAATTAGATATATCAAATTTAGCTGTATTAGTACAGGATAACAGTAGTACAATTTTTTTTTCTTCTTTTTTTCTTTTTTCCAAATGACTTGCAAGTCCAATTTTTATTTTGATGACCCATAAAATTGACACACTAAAACAGGACCCAGATTAAAACATAACTTAAATAAAACAATATATGTATATTTGCTTCATTTAATGATAAAACTAATGGAGTACCGCATGTTGCCTTGGTAGTTACTTATCCCAATCATCTATTAGTTAGAGAAAACAAAGAATTTCATCTACAGTGTATCTCAACCCTAGCTTTACCTGTCCTGCCCAAACTCACTGCACTCCAAGCAAACACTGCTCTGCCTTGCCAGGCCCCACTCCTGGCTTTAATATTAACAGAACCACAAAATTAACCAAATGTTCAAATGCATATTAGTGATCCTAAAAACACCACCCTCTTTCTCATATCAATTGTAATGAATACATAATATAAAATTGCTACTTTCTGAGTTTAAAGATAACTCGTGTCTGTCAAGCTCTTAATGAAATTATGCTTGATTTATTTGAAAAAAATTCACACATTTAATTAGAAAATTTAATACGTTTTAAATAAGTAATTGAATTCAGACAAGCAGATCGACAAACTACCAGCCAGCCCTGAAGATGCACTAAGGTTTTTGAGATCCAACTTTGTGATCAAAAGGCTCTTTTTCAACTTCTGGAAAAAAAGTTTCTGTGCAAGGTAATAAAACACAAACACTTCCAGGTTAATTTTTCACACCCATTTGTTCTTACTTGACTGCTCTGTTACTAGACCAGCTTATTAAAACAGTACTCTCAGCACCAAATGGCTAGTTGTCAAATGAAGATAAATTTGATTCAAAATCCTGTTACGTATTAGTGCTGGATGGGTAATTACCTTCCTGTACTACATCAGAGAGATTTAAGACAAACACACAAAAGTTTACAGATTTGGGTTCATGAAACCTGCACCACTCTATACCATCATGAATAATTTGGTAAGAATGTGCACAAGGGCCATGAAACTATGTATTCAGGCCTAATTTACAAAAAGAGACCTTCCTGGACATTCTATGGCTTTGGAATGTTCCCTCACCCTGTAAATTGGATTGTCCAAAATCTGGAAATGGCTTCAAATTTGAAGCAACATTTTTATTTTTAAAACTATGATTTGAAAGTGATGTTCATTTAAGATTGCATTTTCCCCCAAAAAAACTATTTTGAATCCTTCCATTAGGTTTTCGAGGTTTCCACTCTTCTGAGTGTTGTAGCTGTTCCAAACTTCCGGTTTCATTAATCAGGGGAGCCATTTGCTGCCCTAACATGTATTTTGCAATAAACAACTTGCTATATTACTACTTATAGGGTGCACGGTCTTAAACATCCCATGAACCGTATGTGTAGTAAATAGTCTTTCTTTCCTTGTCTTAATAATTATTTGTAAATCTTTAATTTTTTTATTTTATCTTTACTAATTATTATGTAATTGTTAGAATTCTTGATATACTCTTCTACCTTTGTGTAATATTCTTGTTATTCAATAGTCACATTCTCTCCTTTGTCACAACAAAATATACATCCGGTTGCAATATCTTCAATCTAAAGTATTAGTATTAATAATATTAATAATAATAATAATAATATTAATAATATTAATAATAATAATAATAATAATAATAATATTAATATTAATAATAATAATATTAATAATAATAATAATAGTAATAATAGTAATAATAGTAATAATAGTAATAATAATAATTACATTGTACCTATCCTATTGCATTAAAAATCCCATTCTAGGTATTCTGTAGTACATACTTGTCCCTTCTAAATTCTAATTTAGATGAGGCAGTGAACATGCAGAACTGACAGTTACAGTTCTGATAAATATTCCAAACTGCATTAGAATAAGTAAATGCAAGTTAATGATCATCACATACTATGGAAACAGAAGCAACATTTAATTTTTGTAATTAAAAAGTGGAATTATGAATGAAGCGTTCTTGAAAAGAAACATTTCTTCAAACAAGCTCTCACAATAACGATTCTTATTACATTTTAAAGGTGGAAATTAAACAAACAAAAAAATCTCACCTCTTCAGAAATTTATCATAACGTTGACGATGAGCAAAACCAGCACGTCGCACTCTTACATTTTCCAAGAGTCCCAAGTAGCACACCTGGTGACGCACTCTTTCATCACCAAATAACACAGGAGACTTCTCTTCATTGGGTTTGATGCATCTCACATAATATGGTTCTTTACTCTTCAATATTTTCACAAGTTCAATAATGGAATTTTTGAATAATGTGCCAGCTGTGAGGGGACGCTTTGTGGTCTACAAAAGAATATTGGGCAGAAAATAACAAAAAATTAATGAGAATGGAAATCTTAGCGCAACTCAAAAGTCATATTTTCAGGGATTAGGCTAAGGTCAATACACGGCAAAATATTAGTCGTTTGCTACCAGACAACTGCAACCAAAATCATCAAACTTATTCCATCTGAAAAATGTCTTTTTTTGAACATGTAGCAAACTCAAGACCATTTGTATTCACTGCAGGTGGCTTCAATCTAATCGAACCAAAACGACTAAATGGAACAGATCTGTGTCTGCCATTTCATGTTGGTTGCGTTCAGGTTGTTTGGGTTCACTACAACCATTTTCATTTATCAGCAGATGTTTGAAAGAATTTGGAACATTAGTAGACGAAAACATCTGACATCAATCAATCAAAGTTTCAGTCAAAATCTGCGCCATTGTATCCACTACCTCAGAATTTATTTTTTTTAACCAAATATGCATTTCCAAAAGTGAAGCTTTTATTTTATTTTATTGTCACTATTCCACTCAAAATTAAATGAAAAACTACTCATTCAAGAGTTGTTGTGAAAGTAGTGCCTCCCATTTTTTAGGTTGGCTTATGATCTCAAAAACAAATGAGAATGGTGTCATAGTGGAATTTGATCTTACCTGTTTATTTTCATTTAATTTCGTTGCTATTTGACAGAAGCATAGTGACAGTGTGCGTAAATGGCATCTAGCTGGAATGCACGTGAAAAGCAAAGATATGCGACTCAATTTCTCAATTTGGAAGAAATAGCATGTATTGACATCCAGAGATGATTGCTGAACTTTTATGGAGAAAATACAATGGATGTCAATAGAGTGCAGCGATGATGATATTGTTATTATTATGATTGATGGTAACATGTAGAAAATTTATTTGTGAATTTTGTTCCACTTCAATGGCTAACTGAATATTTGAGTAATATTGATTGAAAACCTCCAACAAAGTCAATATCCTCATGTGTCTAAATTATTTTGAACCAATTTTATTAGTGTAAATTCATCTATTCAAGCAAAACATTTGAAGCCATTTTCGAAAAAATTTCCTTGCAGTTTAATGTAAAGTATCACCCAAAATTAATATGTCTGTTTCAAGTTCAATTTTCATTCAAAAATCTATGTACAAAAATCAAAATCTATGGAATTGGCCATTTTTTACTTTTCTATAAGATGTCACCGCATCATTGATGCACCAAACGATGCACCTATTGGACTATTTTCAAACCTTCCAAAAGCTTTTGATGACGTCGATCATAACATTTTAATATCAAAATAACCTTCATATGGAATCCGCGGTACTGTTCTAGATCAGTTGTTCGTACCTTAAGCAACTATCTCAGAGAGTAGAAATACCTTCCTGGAAAGATGAATCATTACGTACACACCTTTCCGACTCTCCACAGCCCCGCAGGGATTAATTTTAGGCCCCCTTCTCGTCCTACTATACATGAACGATAGGACTTCGATGATTTGAAATGGAAAAACCGTTCTCTTTGCGGATGATACAAATATTCTTTGCAATAAAGAAAGTGTAAATCAAACAATTTAAGATGTTTGAAATTGGTGCCATAATAACAAATTAATCGTAAATGAAAAGAAAACAGGTTCAATGCAGTTTTCCCATTTCAAATAAACAATTCTGCACTCCATTGAAATGAATGGTGTGCCACTGACTGATATTAAGGTAACAAAATTTTCAGGTCACCTAATTCAATCAAATCTCAAATGGAGCATCCATTTTAAGGAATTGAACACAATATTAAGTTAATTATGCTATGTCTTCAGAATTCTTTCAAAATCCATCAGCCTCCATACTGCTCATTGTGTATATTTTGTAAATGTTCATTCCTGCCAGATATATGGCATAATACTCTGGAGAAATACATCTTATAGCTCCCAGACTTTTAGAATCCCACCTACGTGATTCTTGTAAGCCTCTCTTTCTTAACCTTGTAACTTTACCATTACCTTGATTTCTGAATCAGTGGTTTCTGTTAAAAATGAGTTACTTAAAGGTAGAATATATTATCAGCAAACTCTGATGTCTATAATTAAAACATGTAGTAATCATATCCATCAGATGACAGTATCAACAGCTCTCTACAAAATTCACATGAACGTCATTATTTTACACTTTACAATGACATTAAACGATTTAATTCAATAGAAAAGTTTAACTCCCAAGTAAAATCTTTTCTGCTGTATAACAGTTTCTTTAGAATTAGAGTATTAATTATCATTTGGACTGAATAATTCTACACAACCTGTACCACAGCTTCTGGGTCAATGACCCCCTCCCTACCACATTGATCATGTTTTTCGACCAATTTCCTTGATCCTTTGAGCAAATGCTGAGATGGCCCCTTTTTTTGCTCCTGGACATAAACATAATTCATTATCTGAGTATGTCTTCTACAATTCAGTGGAAAATATAGTTATTCAAATTATCGTTCTGCATGTTGACATGGCAAGAAGTATCACTCCTTCACAAAGGATATGATTAGGGATAAGAGCAAATTTATAGCTGATTTACCCTTGAAAATGTATTTATTACAATGAAAATTTCTTTAATGATCTTTGCTACAAACTCCTTTGTTTCTGTATTCGAAATTCAACTAGTATATGGCTTAGGGTAAAGATCTCAGAATTATGAAAACGTGTACAGAATTCACTTCTCCCCGTAACACATCACACAGTTTTTAATCATTTTTGATGTAAAATAAATAAATAAATAAAGATATAAACCAACTAGAAAAATAATTAGCACTTTTCTCTCAAGTCATACGTTCTTTTTTTTTTCTTCTTCTTCTTTTTTTCTTTCTTTCTTCTCTTCTTCTTCTTCTTCTTCTTCTTCTTCTTCTTCTTCTTCTTCTCCAAACTCTCATTCCTAATTCTTGATTTAAAATCTCACACTATGACAATGTAGTTGCATCTATTCACACAATTTTCATGTTTCTGCATCATATTACAGAAAATTATTGTTCTTCCACTTTTCTGTCTTCTGGATTGGTAGAACCCTAAAACTATTATACCCCCGATACTGTTCCTCACACAACGGCTGATGGGCTCTAATGCGCAGTAGCAAAAGGAAACCATGTGACCACTCACTGCTAATGAAGTTCATTCCTGCCTTGTATTCAGCCACAAGCCATTCATTCCAGCCATAAACAATGGCAAGCAGTAGTATTTTTTCTCAAATTTATTATCCCAGATATAAAGTTGTAGCTACAAATTATTTTTCTCCAGGTGTAACTTAATGCTAAAAATACAGATATTTTTAGCAGTACTTTTTAAAGCCAGTTCGGCTTTTATCTTCAAAATAATCAATGTCACAGCATTCCCCTGGTTGCTCTATGAAAGATATACTAGTCAAATTGATGGTAGGATTGGCAACTCACTTTCTCCAAACTTACAGGGCAATTTCTTCAAGTAGTTCAGCCTAAATGAACCATCATCTCTGTAGCTGAGAGATGGGTCTGCTCATTTGGGAAGTTTTGCTTCCCTTAGGGTAGATGGGAGTCTTCCTTGAGAGTATAAGGCCCTCCGTTCCCCATTCCTCTCTTTGGGGTATTGAAATTCCCAAAGTGTGAGACTACATTCCATTGCCTGCTCCTCTGCCCACAAAAGAAAGAGGCTGTTGAGACAATGGTGGTTGCTTATTCCAATAGTGTCATGGAATGCTAGCAGGAGGAATATTTTCGGATATGTGAAAGTTGGGAAAGGTTGAAAGCATTCCTACTATTAACTAACCAAAGAAATAAAATTAAAGAAACAGGATAAAGAGAAGATAGGAAACTGAATAAAAACACGAAAGGGAGAATAAGGAAAATGAATTGCCTTCCTGGCTCTCGAAACCTAATAGTGCCAGGGTTTAAAAACAGGAGAAGAAACTTAGAATGGCCTCGTAAGACAAACATTAGTAGTGGGATGAGACGAAAACTAAGTGGAAAGAGTGCTACATTAGAAGGGGAACCATCTGTCTCAGAGCTGGTGATAGAGGAGAGGGCAATGGATAAGTTAAAATGTGATAAGGATGTTGATTGAAGGGACTGATGGAAGTCCTGAGACAACTCATCTTTTGACTCCACTGAGGTCTGTACACGCTGGGTGACTGCCAGTAGCAGTGCTAATACACTAATCTGTCATGCTACCCAACGTAGCCCACAGAGTATGTACACCTCTTTCTCTGCTTGGTCAGGACTACTAAAAGGTGGTGTTTCCAGGAGGAGTTTCAACAACACTTATCTTTACTTAAAAAATATTGCTAATTTACAAAAAAAAATCTCTATGATGAAGAAAATAGAAGAAAAAAAATATATAAAAGACATGTTTTGAAAATTGTGTTCTCACCTTAGTAATATCAACAGCACCTTCTGGCCACATGGAACTAATGACCTTGTTTCCACTATTGAACAACAAGCGTTTGAAGTCTTGGAACAATAAATCCTTATTTTTGTCAAGAAATCCAATAATAGTATACACCACATCTCCAGCGTAATGCCTGAAACACAAATTTAAGGAGTTAGTTTACATATTTCGCAAAAGTGGAAATTCCCTGAATACTCATACTATTCAAGCACCTGATGGATATGTGTGTTATGAGGCCATTACAGGAGATTTAAAATATTAAAATATTTGTATTTTGAATACAATGGTGAAAAGTGGAAGTGTTGTTAGTCATAGCAACCACTCAATGTGTCAACTTTAAAAGTTAGTAACCAAAAAGTATTTAGGCCAATTAGCCATAAGGAATATTACAAATCAAAATCCAAATCTTAATATAGAAAGATAAGGATAATTGTGTGTTCTGTGAAATTCTGAGGTACAGTATACAGTTCCCATGTGCACTGAGAAAATTCACAAAGCATATTCAATACTATGAGCATTTGGAAAAAATTGCAACTGCACACAAAGGTTGGGGATAAAACAGCTGGTGCTGTAACACGGAAGTGGTGAATAACTGCAAAAAAGCAGTCTTCGATAATTCTATCATCAAGTACTGACTATAAAGAAAATGACAAAGCCGCCATAAATATCCTCAATGAAGTGGTCACACAATAATTAACCAAGTCTTGGCCTCTAAATGCAAGCCCCCTCAAAACCCACTGTGTTCACATGGGAAGCATTCACCCACATTCCCCACACAGATGATTGCTTTCTTGAGGAAAAACTACAACTTTAGTAGGCTCTTGTATTTGAGAAAGAAGGCAAGAGTTTTATGAATCACCATTTTCAGATGAGTGACCTTCAGTGGCTGTTTACACTTGCCTTTCTAGAAGACGTTTGTGCAAATGAATGAGGTCAATTGTCTTCTAAGGAAATCGCACATGTATATATGGCAGCTGCTAACACTACACTTCTAGAGCTGCAGAAGAATCACTTTCAATGAATAATAATTTTTTTCATTTTTTTTGAGAATTGGACATTTTATTAATGTTGTAATAATTAAGCATTTGGAGAAGCATCAGTTTACAGAAAAGAAAAGTATAAATCATCATCAGTGGATCGAAAATTCATAGAGCATTTTTATTGTATTAATTTTTTACTTTCTCGCTACCGCTACTGTGAAAGAGAGAAAGTTATGTCATGCTGTAGTGAAAAAAAAAGCAAATTTTCAGCAGAAAAAAGTCTGGACACATGGAACTAATATTCTTACAGGGCTCTGGTGACAAAAATGCAGATAAATCTAGTTCCTAAATTTAAAGAGACAAAAAGGGAGGGAAAATAATGATAATAATAATAATAACAATAACAACAATAATAATAATAAATAATAATAATAATCATCATCATTATCATCTAACACACGATGTAGCCAGAATCTGTTATGTGCGTCCTTTTTACCAAAAAATCGATCGACAGCAAAACCTCTGTGAACAACAGAACCAGCTAAACCGTTTAGTCAATTTTCTCCAAAATTGATATTCTCCAATCAATTTGCCTGATGTCGTGGCCCCTTGTATTTGAAACCAATATTTTAATTTTGGATACTATTTTACGTGAAGAAGAGAATGAAAATGAATTAGAGATTCACTTTTCAGCTATTTGGCCACTCTGGTTATGAAGTTGCAATCTAACAATACGAACATCACACAACAGCGTGAAGTTCACAGAATTCCCTCTCATTGTCAGGCGGTGTTTCTACTCGTAAAAGTGTGTTGCTTCTGAAAGAAGTCGACAATCAGGATATGGTGGATGTAAATAGTGGATTTAAATTTTGTATTTCTGGTGTTAATATAAGGGAAAATGAAAAGAGCTTGGAGGCTGCCATTCAATTCTTGAAAAGATATTCCTCTTCCTCCAAAACTTTCTTATCTGAGTAATGTGAAAACGCGTTGGTAATCAATAACAGAAGACCATGCATCATTGGTACGTTTATGTAGAACGTGAATTAACTGAATTCAATTGCAGAAAGCTGTTTTCGTTCAAGCATTTTAATTTAAAAAGTATACACGTGTATTTTTTTACAAGGTTTAAGAATTTTTAAATTGGTTGTTGAAGTGTCAGACAGAAATTGTCATATTATAACACTGCAGAGTATTTCAAGAAAGTACATGCTGCAGTAGCACCACTAGTTTTTTTCTCCTTCATGTGTTCACCAAAACAAATAAGATTCACTTTCCCCAATAAGTTCCAGGATTTCAAGAAATGAGGCACAAGTTTTAATTTTTAACAACATGATGCTGACTTCCATATTAGAACCAAATAAGAAATATCAACATGCTTTCTTATTTAATAATAATGGTTAATAATTGACATTATTAATACAAATTGTTGAATAATTAATACTATTTTCTTGGGTTCTGCTACATTATTTTGGACTTCAAATGGTTCCTTAAATGAAAATGTTAGTGAAACATTGCTCTAAATCATGATTACTTTCTTTCAACTACTATCCTATTGATATGTAAGAAATATAGTAGGCTTATATTTCCTGAACTTTGAATACGGTACAATTTAGCTAGAAAATTGTTTGTATAAATGACTTCATTTGAAAATTTCTCCCCAAGATACAATATTTAATGTAATAATCAAAGCCTTTACCGAATTCGAAATTCTTCTTTATGCCGCAGAGCTTTGTCCATGGGGGATAGTTGACGACTAGTGAAATGTTTGTGGTTCGTTAATTTTTTATCCATTGCCTCTAAAACCATCTGAAAAACAAAAAATTATGAAGCATTATTTACACAGAGAATCACTTAAATCTATGAAGGTAACATAAGAATTATTAAATAATTTAAACTCAGGCAAATACATGAGATGTACATTAATTTAAGAGAAGAGTCATACAATCGAGATACATATTCCTAACTTCTATTCCCAAAAATGGGTTCACTTGCAAGTTAGAATTATAAAAGGAAAATTATTGTTCAACAAAGAAAGACTTACAAATTAACAAATCAAAATGCAAAGCAAAACTTTAGCGGAAGAGTTTGGTTATTAACACTCAAAATGTTCATGTGTAAAAATTTTTTAAAGACAGAAATATTTAATCATCACTTTTTACTTTCTTGTATACATACGCAGGTATGGAGTAATATACATAGTAAGACACAGTTATAAAATGTTGCAGAAAATCAATTTCAAGATTTTACACATATTTTTGGGTCCTCTGGTATTGAAAGTGTTTTTTCCCTAAAGTGTTCATCCGTCCGCGAACAAAAATTGTGCCTAAGACTGCGTAGAATTTTTTTTTTTCAAAATGAATATTTCCTGGCTGCCTGACTTAGCTCTATAATTTTGAAAAACAATCTTCACATTTTGGGGGTACTTTATATGAAGCCCTTGGAACATTTTCGAAATTTTCTCAAAAATGGCTCCAATTTTTTTCTTTAAATATCTTATCTTATAAAAATACAGGGAAATATACTTATAAAGATGGCATTGATCCAATATGTCCCCCCCCCCGCCCGATTAAGTTTTGTGATAAGACAAGCACAGTTTACAACTGGAATCCTATGACCAAGGCAAAAGTTTGATGGTTTGCACATTAGTAAATTCAGATGCAATACGTCTCATAAATCCTAACACTGATTTGGATTTATCTAATACGTCATAGTAGATGAAAACTCATTTTTTTGATCAAAAATACACCAAATCTCTAAAGTAATGAGAGACTGATTCTAACCTTGCATCTCCTAGTTTCATAATTAAATCAAGGGGATTACTAGATCTAGTAAGACAACGACTTACATTTACCATTATTCAAATTCCAAAATTTTGATAACAACCAATCTAACAATGTATTTAAGTCATATTCAAAATTCGAAACAGTCTTGTAATGAATTTATAGTTTTAATAAATTTTCAGTCATGCAGCAAAAAAGTCAGGAATTTTGACACATGGAAGTGTTTTCTTAAGATCATTTACATAATAGACTGGAATAATGGTGGGCCTAGGTGGGAACCTTGGTGGACTCCAGATGCTGACTCGTATATATTTCTAGAAATGAAGGATTTATATTTCACATTCCTGCGTCTCCCAGATTAAGTAACTATAGAACCAATTCAAGATTGTATCCATGGATACCAAATTTCTTCGCAACACATGAAGTAAAAGACAATGGTTTACGTATAAGTAAGACTTTTTGGAAAAGTCTGTAAAATTACATCTACTTGTTTTTTATATCTAAATTTCCAAGTCATATAATGTTGAATAGTCATCCAAATTAGTAACAGGAGAACCTCCCTTTACGAAAACCATGTTGTCCTTTGATTCAAAATGGATTTAGAAATTGCGTCAATTTAATTGTTATGAATGGATTCCATCAATTAGCAATTATACAAATTTAAGAGATTGGTCTATGACTCTCAACGTTAGAACGTTCTATTTTTTGTGAAATCAGAGTTATCTATGGTTTTCCACCATCTTTGGGAGGGTTGCTTCTCGCAGAGATTTAATAAATAAAAAGTTTAGGATTGGTATCGAGATTCACATTACAAATTTTCATAATAATGATGGTATACCATCAGGGCCAGGAGAAGTGTCGGTTTTCATTTATCTAATAGGCATTTAAAAACATCCGTTGAGTTATATCAATAAAGCCAATATAACACAGTTTATCGTCTTGATTTGAATTTCTAATAGTTTGGCAATACGTCATTTTTATTAATTTTAAAAATAAACATATTTTAATTAATATTTTTTAAGAATTAATTTTTTTCTTACAGTTTTGTAGGGATAATTTAGTATGCAGTGCCAGTACAGTACCCAGAATTTTAAGCATTAGATGGTATGAAACAATTTAGCTGTATTTTTTTTGGTTTTTACAAAATGAAACATTTGAAGTAACAAATGACATTTGAAACGCACAAAACAAATGAAATCTTTTTGATATCTCTTGTGTTGTTAATATATACATTACAGCATTTAAGAATACAAAGTGTTAAAATCAGGTCTCTTATAAATTTCTAAAAACCTCAAAACTTTTCTGTAAAAAATTAGCTCAAATTTGCATTTCAGAATGCCTCAATGCCCTCTTTTTAAATTTTTGGTATGATCATGGCAAGTGGACAGAAATATCATGTCACACATGCCACTTTGATAGTCTTTTGTATTCAAAAACTTACCAAAATGTTATTTTTTGGGAAGGTTCTCTCATCTTGTCAATATTTCATTTATGGGCATTTCTTATATGGTAATTAATCCACATTTTGCGAGTACAAGTGATTTAACATATTTTTCTAATTAAGTTTCTTGAAAACTAAAGTTTTGCGTGAAAACAATCCACAAATTGAGCATTTTCAGATAGGTTCATTCATCTTCTAAACAGCTCTAAATTTTTCAATGGAACAGTACATATAGGATTGTTTATCTTTTCTAAAAAAATAAAATAATTCTACAATTAGGAATCTGAAAAATTGAGAGAAGTGAAAAAATGTGATTTAGGCACCACAGACAGGAGCTGAGAAGGTGGGCAAGAAACGACAAGAAGAAGAAGAAGAACGACAAGAAGAAGAAGAAGAAGAAGAAAGAAGAAGAGAGAAGAACGACACAGAAGAAGAAAGAAGAAGAAGAAGCGACAGAAGAAGGACACCAGAAGAAGAAGAACGAACGAAGAATGAACGACGAACGAGAAGAACACACGAAGAAGACGAGCAAACCGAAGAAGAAGAAAAGACGACCAGAAGAGGACGACACAGAAGAAGAAGAAGAACCGAGAAGAAGCACACGAAAAGACGACACAAGAACGACAGAAAAGAAGCACAGAAGAAAGACACAGAAAGAAGAAGAAGAGACGAAGAGAAGAACGACACAGAGAAGAAGAAGAAGAAGAAGAGAAGACGACAGAAGAAGAAGAAGAAGAGAACAGAAAACAGAACCGAGATAGCAAGAAAGAAGACGAAGAAGAGACGACACAGAAAGAGAAACGACAGAAGAAGAGCGACACAGAAGTAAGAAGAATGACGACCAGAAGAGAAGAAGACGACACAGAAGAAGAAGAAACAGACAGAAGACGACACGAGAAGCACAGAAGAGAGACCGAACAGAAGAAGACAACGAGAGAACGACACAGAAGAAGAAGAAGAGAACGACAACAGAAGAAGAAGACGAAGAAGAAGAACGAACACAGAAGAAAGAAGAAGAAGACGACACAGAGAGAAAGACAAAAAAGAGACGACAATGGAAAAGAAACGAAGAAGAAAAGAAGGAAACGACCAAGAAGGAAAGAAAAGAAACACACGAAAAGGACACGAAAAGGAACGCAGAAAAGAACGAACGAAAAGAGACCAAAGAGCGACAGAGAAGAAGGACAACGAAGAAAAGCAAAGAAACACAAGAGAACGAAGAACGGAGCCAGAAGAAGGAAGAGCGAAGAGAAAAAAAAGAGAGAAGAAAAGAGACGACACGAGAAGAACAACAAGAGAAAACAAAGGAGGGAAAGACAAGAGAAGAGAGAAAGAAGAAAGAAGAAGAGAAACGAAGAGAAGACCAGAAAGAAAAGCAACGAAGAGAAAAACCAGAAGAAAAAAAAAAAAAAAGAAGACACCAGAATAAGAAGAAACGACACAGAGAAAGAGAACGACACAGAAGAGAGAAAGCAGAAGAAGAGAAAGCGACAGAAGAGAGGAGAGAAGATGACGACAAGAAGGACGAAAAAACGAAGAGACCAGAGAGAACGAAGAAGAAAGATACAACAAGAAGAACAAAAAGAAAGAGACCAGAAGAAAGAACAACAAAAAACGGAAACGCAAGACGATCACAGCAGACAAGAGAAGGAGGTCTTCTTTTCTTGAAAATTTCATTAATAAAAAAAACATTCAGGAAGTACCAACCTCATCGTCCCCTTGCCAACATTCAAACACCTTGTCATCCAGTATAGCAATAATGCCTTATGAGGCTGCTCAACTAAGTCACAGATCAATTTGGTTGTTAAGTTACTCTATGTTTTGCCATTCAATTACCTTCTCGCATGTACTCTTCTTGTTCTTGTTTTCAAAAACAGTTCTGGACATAAAAACATCCAAAATGTTGAAACATGATTGAATAATTAATTTCTTTCTCAAGAAACGGCATATGAACTATTGTGAGAAATAGGATAACAAATTGGAAAAAATGTCATTGGAAAAAATGACAGGAAAAAAACAGAGCCGCAACTAACTCCACCACCCAACTTTCTCTCTCTCACAAGCACGTCAGCACTCGTTCCTGATTTCTGTAGAGAAGAGATTTCTATGTTTAGTAGTGTTTTCTTACAGACGGGATACATAGTTGGTTCAATTTGTGTGCAAACTACTCACAATGCAAAATGATGCTTTACTTGACAATTTAATAGTTTACTTTGGCTCCAATGTACTACGAAGAAGAGTTGGGAAATGAATCATAGAAAATAATTAATATTTGTATTATCTAGAGGTTTACTTCCCTAAAGCGCAATATAAATTTTAAATTCCTACGCAGAAGAATCTGTAATAATTTAATTACACTAGCTTAGCTACTGCACATATTGCCTAACAGTTCACCAAGTAGCTATGGGAGAGCTGGACCACACCTTCTCAGAAGTCTACTGAGTTCATTCCAAAGTCAATCACTCAATTTATAGGAAAATAATGACTTTGATTTTTCAGATTTTAAAACACATTTTTTTGCATCAAGAGTCATGTTTTTCAACAACTTTTTTTTTTTTTTTTTTCTTTTTTTTTTTTTTTTTTTT